TAATCTCAAATTAAAATATTAAAATATCAATGAAACATAACCCCCCCCCCCCCCCATATACACATTTAAGCGCCAAACAAACAACAGAGCAAAAATGGGAGAGGAAAAAGACCTCCCTCCCCCCCTCCCTCCCCCGTAAACACATTAAAACACCAAACAAACAGCTAAACAACAAAAGTGTGTGTGGGGGAGGGGGGGTGGAGCCCCCTCTCCATCATCGCGACCCCTTTTTTTCTTTTCTCTGAAAATACAACCCACACACAAAGTTTCCCCGCTACTTACTGACATTACTGTCCATGGTGTTGGTGCGGTCTCTCACACTTGTCAGACTCATCCCCATCACCTCCACACACCCCAAGGCCTCACGATCCACGCGCATGCAACAGTTGTACTGTCTCGTCTTCTTCAGCCATACCCCGTCGTGGTACCGTCGCGCCAAACTCACCCTGGACCGAGCCACCTCTGTGAAAGGAACACGATATCGTCCTATAAGAGCCAGTTCCACGTATCAAGGTTTTAGCGAATTTTTTTCAGGAGGAACAATAAAACTGAGTAATGTAGGTATGTATGACTGATCAACACACCGGAAACGATCAAGCCCTAAAAGCGTATCATATGATACGCGATTTAGGAATTCTTGGCTTTACTGTCGGCTCCGTAGTGATTCTTGTTGCGTCATCCAAGTTGTAACAATACTGAAATCCATTCCGCACATCTCAAGATGAACTAATTTGGAAGCAGAGAGCTATGATAGGTGAAACAGTTATTTGCTTTTTGAAGCTATTTTAAGACGGGGAACTCAATGAAACTTAAACAGAAATGAAGCCAATGATACGCTCTTTCGATTGGTGAAAAAACCCCACCATTTCGCACCAAAATTATGATACGCAGATCTGGCTCTTATAGGAAGATTTCTTCTCTGATTGTAAAATTAAATTGTTATTTTGTGTCATCGTGGTAAAATCAAGCGCTCTCAAAATAACGAAATCGAAGAAACCGACACTTTGTTCCACCGACTGGGTAGTTTTTATCGAATTTTTTTTTTTTTATAGGGTTTTTTTTTCAACTTTTTTTAGCTCAAAACCTATACACCTATTAAGAAACACAGTTCTGCGTTAAGTGTACTGAAAAACATTGATCAAATGCTAAATATAGTAATATACAGTGACGTCCAAAAGAAACTTGAAAATGTAATCACCGAATCACCAGTTCGCAAAATACATAAATGGATACATAGTCATTTGCATAACTTTGTACCTAACATGAATCTATAGTTCACTCAAACTTAAAACACTGTCTCGATCGTAAATCATAATGTGATAAATTTCTTTGTAAAAATCGTTCCGTTCGGTCCTAAGTTACCTCTTTTGATGGCGGCAATCCACGCCAGTCTCTCGTGGTCAGTGTTGGCCACAATGTACAGATGGTACAACGCCCCGTCCTCGTAATACGCCACCTGACGGTCGGAGAGACAGGAACAGGAAGTATGTCAGAGAGGAAATAGTAAAACCATAGATTTATCATGACGTTTGTCAGAGCATAAGTGGTAAAACCATAGATTTATCATGACGTATGTCAGAGCATAAGTGGTAAAACCATAGATTTATCATGACGTATGTCAGGGCATAAGTGGTAAAACCATAGATTTATCATGACGTATGTCAGAGCATAAGTGGTAAAACCATAGATTTATCATGACGTATGTC